TCATCATCATCATCATCATCATCATCATCATCATCATCATCATCATCATCATCATCATCACCATCATCATCATCATCATCATCATCATCACCATCACCATCATCATCATTATTATTATTTTCGCCATCATTATCATTATCACCACCATTATTATTATCACCACAATTATTATTATCATCATCATTATTATTATCATCATCCTCATTATTATCATCACTATCATTATTATTGTCTATGAAAAAACAACCCACATAGATCTAATACATGATGATGATGATGTGCAGGGTTAGTAGGCCTACAGTTTTCAACAACACCAACATCAACCATTCCCTCACCTCCTCAGCAGATAGACGAGCAATATAACGATGATGATGAAGAAGAAAGCGGCGAGCATTCATTATCATCATCATCATCATCATCATCATCATCATCATTATTGTCTACGAAAAAACAACCAACATGATACCTAATACATACACGATGATGTGTGCGGCCTTAGTACAGTTTTCACCAACACGAACATTAACCATTCCCTCACCTCCTCAGCAGATAGACGAGCAATAATAAAACGATGATAATGAAGAAGAAAGCTTCGAGCATTCATCATCATCATTATTCTCTATGAAAAAACAACCGACATCAACCCTTCACTCACCTCCTCAGCAGATAGACGAGCAATAATAAAACGATGATAATGAAGAAGAAAGCTTCGAGCATTCATCATCATCATTATTCTCTATGAAAAAACAACCGACATCAACCCTTCACTCACCTCCTCAGCAGATAGACAAGCATTATAACGATGATGATGAAGAAGAAAGCGGCGAGCACTCCGAGGACGATAGGAAGGATGTTGTCCGTGTCAGCCATGCTGGCCGCGGCGACTCGCTCAGGGGGAGGGAAGTTGACGGTTACTATGACTGGTGTGTCGTAGCTGGGTACTCCCCCGTCACTGACCACCACTGTGATTGGATAGCTCTGGAGGGACAGCTGGTCCTCCTCGGCTCTCACGGACACAACGCCGGACTGGTTGATCGCGAACAGACTGTGGAAGCGGGGAATTTTTAGTTAATAATAATAATAATAATAATAATAATAATAATAATAATAATAATAATAATAATAATAATAATAATAATAATAATAATAATAATAATAATAAAAAATAGCATTTGTATAGCGCATATCCCCGGTCAACAGCAGGCTCTATGCGCTTTATACTATATTATTACCCCAGCAGACCATAGAACACTCCGAAACATTCTCAGCTTTCCGGGAAGCGTACAGTGCAAGCAGCTGATTAAGCGCTCAAACACTAACAAACTGAAAAGATCTTTCGCTGTCTATAGCCGGGTACCCATTCCCACCTGGGTGAAGTGAGGAAAATTCGTGCAAAGTGCCTTTCCCAAGGACACAACGTCGGGTCCCTGACAGGATTTGAACCCACGACCTTACGGTTGCGAGTCCGAGAGCCTAACCACTTAACTAGGCCACCGACGTCAGTTAGTTACAGTAAAGGGTTTTACAGCGCTCGCAACTGCGTAAGGTCATATGAGCGCCAAGGGGTGGGTGTCAACAAAGAAGTCTTTACAGGGAATCAGTCTTACTCTGCTCACCTCTCTAGCTTCAACAGCACAACGTCTGCTTCGACTATCAAGGCACCCCGGAAATAGCGGGTCACAAGAGAGTGACAAACATACAAAAGAAGTAAAGGCAAATGACAATAGTAAGGAGTAGGAAAGAAAAAGCAGCAGTTCCCTGTTGTAGATCAGGCACAGTTATGAGCGTGACATGATGAATCAGCCCATTTACAATTCTACTTAGTTTGAACGAGAAATGTCCCCCCCTTTGGGAATGGCCTAAAGACACTACAGTCAGTGGCACTGCCCCAGGGGTGGGGGATTTTTAGTTTTTGTGACGGCTGCATATGGCCTCACATTATAAAAAGAGTAATACTTGAAAGAAAGACAAAGCACTGCCGCTCTCTTGCCTACCTGCCGGTGAATTGATTTTTATTGGAGTTTAGTTTACACTGAAGACTCGTGTGAATCCCAAAACGAGTCAAAATGTGACGTATCAAGAAGGGGAAATAATTGTGATATTAAAGAAGCATTATTTAAACATTCGCAAAATAGTTCCTTCTCATTTTTACATTTCATACATCATACATACATTACAGTTTTAGTAGAGGTTTTACGGCGCTCTCAACTGCATAAGATCTTTTGAGGACCAGAAGATTAGAGGGGTTAAATTACAAGAGAGTAACAAACATAAAAAAGAAGAAGGGGAGATAAGGACGATAGATGTTTGATAGGAAAGAAGAAGCAAACCACACCAGAGCACCCGCGTCAAAATAACGAAATCAGAGAAACAGGCATTTTTCCGGCAGTTTGGACATTTTTATAGATTTTTTTTCCTTTTTTTTGGGCTTAATCTGTTTATTTTCCATGCAAAAACACATTTCCATTTGAATTTTACTAAAAAGCATTGATTAAAAGCGCAAAATATGCCATTTTTCAGTTTTCAAAGACTCTTTAGCTTTTGGAGTCATCAAACTTTGGCGGCCATTTTCCCTCTTATTTCACCGCTGAAACCAGGCAACCTTACTTCCTTCTATCGCAGATATCTTGAGTTATATCGAGGATAAATGAATATTTATTTTATTGGCATGGGAGCAAGGCAAATGAATCAGCTTTTAGATGATACCAATAACTCCACATGCCTAAAAATTGACGAGCGTATGATTCCACCGCGTCGTGACGCGAATTGTGTTGATGGGATCAGAAAACATTTGCAATAACAGTTTAGGAGAAAAAAGTTAAAGCACCCAATATTCCTATTAAATAAAATAACTTCCATGGCGCTCTTTCATCGCCATTTTCAAATACACTTAACAAGAAAAAAATAAATAGTGAGACAACTTACTCTGTAAACGTGAGCAGTCGGAAAGACAGAACGGTCGTCCCTTTGTCTTCGTCCTCAGCCTGAGAGGAAACAAAAAAACAACACGACGGCATTCAGAAATAGAAGAAACAAAACGTGTGACAGAACGAATAATGTTATCATTAATATCAAAGGCGCTACCACAGAAGAAAACAGAATGTCTAACTGAATTGAAACAAGAAAGTTAAACGCCAGACAAATACACGTTAGTAAGATATAATTTCCACATTTTGAAAGCACAAAAAACCAAAGTAAGTTCACTTGCCTATTTAAATAAGTCGATTTTAACCCTATCAGAACGCCCTGGGGTCATTTTGTACCCCCGAGGCTGTATTTTTCACATTTTAGAATACTTTTAGTGAGAGGATCTCTTTGAAACTTTCAGTATTTAAAAAAAAATCAGTTTGACAGACTGCTAAGCAAAGCGTACGGATCGGATTAACGAGTAAATTTCCTCTTTGGAAGTGGTGGCACAGAGTTCTCCACGTCGTTGGGATACGATAGTAATACTCGACGTACGGATAGGGTTAAGATTTCTTTTCCGTGTTTTTATATTATACATCTATTGCAAATATTCATTCAGTTCGTTCCTGTGGCATAAGAAATTGCGCAAAAGTGGTTCATGCGACAGCAAGGAGATAGACAGATAGCAACGATCTATGTGTCTATTATTGTCGGCCTTCCCTTCAGACTGGCGTGACAAAGCGGTGCTGGTCCTCTACTCTCCAGTGTCGGCGACATTGAGCAATGTCAAGGGGTTGGGGGGGGGTATCAAGACTTCAGTCTCTTTGAACAGGTGTTTAGCGCACACAATCACAAACACACACACACACACACACACACACACACACACACACACACACACACACACACAAAA